AAGCAGTGCTCTGGGAGAACCAGTCTGACCAGGGGATAAGCCACTTTTGAGCTAAGGGTTTAGCTGACAACTCTTCCCTCCCCCTCACCCGTGCTCATAGCAGAGGAAGAGCCTGGACCTTCCCTTTACTGCCCTTGACTTCAGGGACCATTATCAGCAATCCCTGCCCTTTTATTTCTTACCCCGAGCTCTGTCCTGCAGGCAACATACTGACTGCAAAGCCTTCCCCTGGGAAAGTGGGAGAGAAGCTGACCGTGAAGTCTTCTCCAGTGAAAGTGGGGCAGAAGCGGAAAGCTGCTGATGAGACCCCGTGCCAAACAAAGAGGGTAAGAAGGGCAACACAGCAGATAGGCCAGTTTAGCCCAGGGCTTTGTGTTCCCAACCCTCTGCACATGAACTTTGAAAGAAGATGAGCACAGGTGTTTTGGGGAACACTGGCTAAACCCCTTTCCTGCCTACAGCTGCCTCTCTGTCACGGGCAAGGCCAGCAGTGCTGCTGCTCCACCCCCTGCCCTCTTGTTGCCTTGCAGAGGCAGCCAGCCAGCCAGCAGAGAGGAAGGAGAGCTGTGCCAGCAGGCAGGAGATAGAGCAGCCGGCCTAGCCAGGAGAGGCCGCAGGGACCCACTCAGCTGCTGGGCCCAAGTCACAATTGACATTAAAGGGGAGAAAGCCCAGTCTGGGTGTGGGAGTGCAGCAGTGTGAGTTTGTGGTCAGGCGGGAGCAGGTCCCGCCAGCAAGGAGATGGGGAGAGGGCCCTGGCTTGATGACTCTCCTCCCACCTGAGGAGCCTTTTCCCTTTTACGCTCGCTTATCAGTCTTGGGTTTGGCAACATCTGTTGAGCACCTTACTGAGGCCAAGAACTAGGGTTAGCACTGACTCAACTCCGAGGGAGCTGATGGCCCACAGTGCAGATAGGGAAATGAACATGTGATCACCACACCATGTCATTGTGCCCCTACTCTCCCCACCTCCACCCAAGTAAACACAGAAGTTTGACAGCTCAGGACTTGAAGCCAGTCCCCAGCAGACCAATAGAAACCTTTCCCCATCTCCCTCTTCCCTGCCTGAAGCCCTGGAACCCATCCATAGTCATGAGCAGGACTCCTGCCCCCTTGGTCTGGCGAGCTGTGCAGAATGGACTGTTCCATCTCAGGGGATATCACTGAGTCTGAGAGCAAGCCCTGCCTGACCACCAGCCACTGGGTGGCTCTTGGAGACATGTACTTTTCTCATCTCCATGTCCCAAATGTTGAGGCCCATCCCCTCCTCTCTCCTTTTCCTCTAGGCAGGGATGAAGGGCAGTGGCAGTCCTGGTAATTTGGAGTGCCTGGAGGGTGGGGTATTTTATGCATGTGCCTTTTCTCCAGTAAACCCGGTCTACTTGTGTCTCTTAACTCGGGGTTCCCTCCTTGCTCCATCCTGTGCTCATCTGGGTGAAAACCCATCTGCACCCAGTGCAGGCCCGACCCCGCCCTGACCCCTCTGCGTTTGCAGGTGCTGCTGGACATCTTCACCGGCGTGCGGCTCTACTTGCCGCCTTCCACACCGGATTTCAACCGTCTCAGACGCTACTTTGTGGCATTTGATGGGGACCTGGTGCAGGAATTTGATATGGCCTCAGCCACACATGTGCTGGGTAGCAGAGACAGGAACCCCGAGGCCCAGCAGGTCTCCCCGGAGTGGATCTGGGCATGTATCCGGAAACGGAGACTGGTAGCTCCCTGCTAGGAATCCTGCCCTTCCTCTCCCTTGGGCCATACTCTCCCTCACCACACTGCTGCACTGGGCTCAGGCTGAAGGCAGGCAGGCAGAGGAACAGCACAGGGAATGGGCTTGCTCCTTCAAAACCCACCAATCCTCCATGGTGTCTTCTGGACCAGGAATTAGTGCAGTCAGTTTCTCTTGCTAGTTTAACTAGATCTTTCAGATCTGGGTGCTGGCTTTGTCATATTTTTGTTTTCTTTGAAAAGAAGGTTAGGGGGTTTTTTTAGACATAAGTATCTTACAGGTAATTCTGTCCTTTCCCCACCTATACCCCTATCATTTCCATAGTGATTAAGGAATAAAGGCTGGGCTATTGAAGCTTTGTCCACAAAGTCTTCCCTCCCTGCCTTTCCTTTTTAAAAAGTTGTATTTAAAAGACTGCCCTCAGAAATGCTTCTTATATTTAGTAGAACTTATATTCACCCTGGCCCCTTCTGCCAGGAGTAAACCCTCATTTGAAAGAAAACAAAATGAACTTTTATGACAATTCTTGTGTCCTCCCATTACAGGGCAAGGATCCCCAGAGTTTGAAGGGAGGGGACTAGGATCAGGTAGGAAGTTGTGGCCTTCATGAAGAAAAAGGAGGTTATTTGCTCTCTGTGGGCATAGAGGGCTCCAGGAAGATCTACCTTCCCCAAACCTGGAAACAAGACTGCTCTTTAAGAATAAAAGCCCACACTTCAGAACAAATCTGTACAACCTGCTTACAAAGAACTGCTCCTGTGCCGCCTGAGGCTGATTTATTTGAAGGACAAAAAGAAGATAATTTAGTGTAGGTACCTGCTGTTCCATAGAATTTTTTCTATTGGTTATTGCCCAGGCTGGCCTTAATCCTCCTGCCTCAGCCTCCCAAAGTGCCAGGATTACAGGCATGACCCATACTGCCTCACCCTCCATAGAACTTTTTGCGGCAATAGAAATACCCCAACCAGATAACCAGGGATGTCTGTTGAGCAACTGGAATGTGGCTAGCTAGCACAGCTGAGGAACTGAAGTTCTCATTTTAATTCAACTTCACAGGATCACATATTGCTAGCGACTACCACACTGGACAGTGCAGGTATAGACAGACCTCATTCAATTAGGAGCCCTGAAACTAAATAGCTGTAACCTTAGGCAAATTACTTACTATCTGAGCTCAATTCCTCTGAGTAGAATGGGGATAGGCATTGTACCTAAATCATAAGAGTTACTGTATATATATGTCCTCAGACACGTTATATAAAGCACTTAGCACACAGCTTGGCACATAGTTATCTAAGTTGGGAACATCGCCATTTTTGTGCATGCCCAGACCCTACCTAGGAAAGGGGGCCCTGGCCTGCAACCTCAGAACCCACAACCACAGGTCTGCATGTTGAATTCACACTAGCAGGCTCATCAGGACACCATGTAGTTACAAACTATAAACTGGCTTCCATGTCCCAGTCCTGCTGACTTCTAAGGGTCAGGGTCAGTTTTTTATTTTGTTTTGAGACAGTCTCACTCTTTTGCCCAAGCTAAACTGCAGTGGTGTCACCATAGCTCACTGCAACCTTGAACTCCTGGGCTTAAGCAAGCCTCCTGCCTCAGCCTCCTGAGTAGCTGAGATTATAGGTGTGTGCTGCCACACCTAGCTAATTTTTCTATTTTTTTTTTTTTTTTTTTTTTTTTGTAGAGGTGAGATCTCTTGCTTGGGCTGTTCTTAAAATCCTGACCTCAAATGATCCTCCCACTTTGGCTTCCCAGAATGCTAGTATTACAGGCATGAGCCACCACACCTAGCCCAGGTTTTTTTTCCTTGTCAATGAATTGGCAGGCTCTGGGCCTGTAAGATCAAGGGCCACTGCCTCCCTACACCCCTCAGGTCCCACTCCCACCCCCAGCGTACTCAACTAAGGTAATATTCTACTGAGAGGCTACTTATCAGTTAGTCTGGAGGTCAGCTTTAATCTGATTGACCTTGGCTTCCACCTACTGTTTAAAATGTCTGGGGGGGGTGGTGGTTGAGGACGGGAGAGGTGGGTACTGCCCTGATTCTAGCCTAGAACATTTGGTGTTTCTGAATAGACCATTCAGTATGGCTTTAGTATCAGAAAGAAGATACTCTGTTCCATCCTCTGTGAAAACAAAAAGCTGCTCCTCCTTTGAGCACTGACCTATATAGACTTCCATTCCCTCTCCAGCCTCCTCAGCCCAAGCAACTAGACAGGGCAGCAGAACAAGGGTCTGCCCTCTCCAACCTGACTCGGACCCGGCCCTTACTGGTTGCTGTCACCCAGAGGGCAGCTTCAAGGCAAAGGGCTCTGCCAGCCGCACCTCAGTAATGAGCTCAGCGCCTTGGCCTTGCTCAACCTGAGTGTTTTATCTCCATTTCACTGTCAGGGCTTTTGTATATTTCCTTCTCCGGTCTTTCCTAACGCATGTTTTTCTTTGCTGCTAAGATTTGACTATGTACGATTTTGTTTTTCATGTTACTCCTTATGTGTACTTCCACACAACGGTAAGCAGCAGAATGCTGCCCTCTTAAATCTTCAGCACGCTGCTGGCTGGCAACAGGCAGAGGCCATCCCTGGGTGCTGAATAGGTGGGCCACCTACAGCAAAGAGGACAAAGTACTGTGGTTCAGCCGTGAGCCTTTACACCGTTTTGGCAAGATTCCTTCTTTCCTCTGTCACAGGGTAGATATGCACATACCCTTGTTCTCCCAAGGGATGCATTCTCAAGTCTCAGGACTCTTCCTCTTGGGCACCTGGTCAGCTGTGTACAAGCCTGTGCACACACAGCAGTCTGCCCATGAGGCTGGGCCAGCCTTTTCTGAGCCATAGCTGTATCCAAAAGCTACTGTATATCTCCCGGAATAACCTGGGAGACTTAACTGGGCATATTAGCTGTCTTCCATTCCTTTCCACCCAGATCTTCAAGGCCCATCTCTACTAAACAGTGTTAAATGTCTGAACTCACTTGGTGCTTCTTCCCATTTGGTCTTGGGATTTGTCCTTTTCCTATCCAGCTCCCATTCCCTTCTAGGCTATTCCATGGCCTCTTACACATTATTTTGAGATCTGGGGCAAGTCACAATACTTAACAGGGATATTTTGACCAAGACCACATGGCCCAAGCATCTCCAAGAATAATGTGATTTCTCAAGAACATGCCTCTGTGCACATGGCCTGGCATTAGCCTACGGTTTATCAGTCCTTTTGTGAGTCTTAACTATAAGACTTCTGGTATCTTCACACTGATCCAACAGGCATCTGTATTGAAACTTTATTACAAAATTATAAAGCAGAGCTCTGTATAACACAAAAAAATACACATTTGGGTTTGCTTTAAACCCCCAAGTTTGAGAAAATCTTAATATAAGCCACTTGAAGTAACAAATTCACATCTAAGAGATTTCAACAAATTTATACAATATATATTGAGCACTGATTCCTGTACAGCTTATTAGTTTGGATCCAACTATTCCAATGTATTATGAACGAGTCAGCTGTCCAAGTCTTAAGTCTCAACTGAAATCTCAGAGCAATCACAGCAAAAGCCACGGAATAATTGGGAGAATTAGATGTTTCCATGATAATTAAAACCAAGGATTCATGATGGGCAAGAGGGAGGATTCAAGGATTTTTAAAAAATCAAGTTTTATACTTGGGTTAGATATTAACTGGAATGGGATGTTGGGACTTCCAACTTTTATTTGTTGTAATAATAAAAATGATACAAAAAAAAAATCAGGGTTGACACCTTTCTTCCTAAATGGAAACCTTCACCATAAGAGGACAAAACATTTAAAGGCAAGTTCTTTCTCCAAAATGAGTAAATGACATCAGTTCTAATTCTTACTGAGGTTACTAACTAGCCATCAGTATATTATTTTCAGCTTGTATCTAGGAGGAAAATGGGGAGGTAGGGCTTGAGTAGAGAAAAGTTTTAAGTAGGGAGAGAGCTAGCTTCTGCCCTGAAGTTATTGCTACATGTTAACTGAGTAGCATGTACATAGACCTGTTTCACAGTGGAATTAAAGAGTAGCTGAATGAATGAATGATCCTTTGCTAAACTGGTAGGCATTGTAAACTATAGCATTTATTGTCTGCCAGAAAGGTGATATTTTCATGGGAAAATCTCTGATTCCCCCAACTCCTACAAAAGCTTCAGCCCAGAATCAAATCATCCAGGCCTTGGTATCATGTCGAGGTAAGTGGCCCAGTGTTCATCTGACAACTATTTGAAATTATTTCATACTCCCGAAAGGGTTCAGTGGTTGATGAAGAAGCAAAAGCATAAGTACGTCTGCACCAATAGGTCCCTTTAGAGGTTTCCCACTACCACCCAGAGTCATGATTGGTTCTTCTAGTCTCAGGGGAGCTCAGCTACGGCAAGGGGGGGCCCTCAGGTGTTTAGGGTTTGCATAGTTCATCCATTGCTAACAGAAGGACACACAGCTTTCCTGATAGCATGTGTGTTCTGTGTTTGGCTAAGCTTCTCCAGCAAACTTAAGCCCTTCAGTTCCTCCAGTGGTCTAAAGACCCTAAGGTGGCTCAAAAACATCACCTACTCATTCCATGGTTCTTCCTAAACGGCCTAGAGAATGCTTCTTCCCTGACCTGTCCCCCAAAATCAGTAGGCTAAGAAGGGAAAATGCAAGTAGGGACTCCTCACCAACCAGGGCAATTAAGACTTTCAGCTATCTGGCCACAGGCAGAATCCAGCCTCATTCGGTACCTTCCAACACCTCTTAGGTGTTCTTATAGGTTCCTCTAGCCAGGAACTCTCATCTGGCTAAAGAGGAGAGCAAAGTTCTTTGCCTAAGTCTCTGTGCTTTGGGTGAGAACAAGTTTAAAACCTCATGAGTAGGGAAGGGACTTCATTTTCAGCGGAAAGTGGTTTAAGACCCCTGCCTATTGCAAAAAGAGGCTCAGAAGCAAAGCCAAAGTTAAGCAGAAAGCCACTGCCTTTACCCAACACTTCTGCTTTCCTCAAACTAAAAGATGGTGCAAAGTCAGGCCCCAAGAGAGGAAGCAGCAGAGATTATCCATGCACCACCCCCTGCATAGAGACGGATTTCCCAGCAGTTTGGAAGCCAGATGCTTGTTGGCTTAGGTCAAAGACTACTGATAGCTTCCAGTACCAGCACTTAAGGAAGCAACTCTTAACAACTGAAGTTTTTTGATAGCATTTGTGTATCATTTCAGAGTTAAATTTACTGGTCCAAATTCTATCCTAAAGACAATTGGTCTGGTAAACTAACATTTTTGGTCCAAAGAAACAAATGGATTTTAGGCAATGTAGCAAGAGACTTTAGCAAAGATTATTAAAGCACAGAAAGCCAGAGACCAGTAATTTAAATCCAAATGTGCTAAGAAAGGAAGAGAACCATTTCTGACAGGACTTTTGATTGATGAAACACAAAGGCAAGCATCTCCAGATGATGGGTGGGGTACAAGAGGAAGGGTGGAACTGCCTAGGTTCTCAGAGGAAGGGAGGAAGACATGGTCGAAGTTCTAGCAAGTCTTTTCATCATGTACCATCATCACCTCAAGATCACTGAAATAAGGACTCACCGTGTGATTTGTAGCTGTCCCCACTGGTCTCAGGAGCTTTGCCAGTCAAAAGGTGTACCCCCACGGCAAGACAGGCATGCCCACGGTAACATGGTATCTGCTTGCCCTGATCTTGGGAACACTGCAAAATTTCTTAACTTGCCCCCTCTGCAAGCTGGCCAACCCTGAGCCCTGACATCCCAGGCTACGTCCCTGTAAGGCACTGAAGAAGCAGATGCAAGCCCTCAGGACCGGAAGACGTGCACAGCTCGGATCACATACTGCCGGCAGATGGGACACTCATTCATGCGTTTGCCACACTTGGTACAGGTTACCATGTGGCCACACTCCAGCAGAACACAGTCAATGGGTGAGTCCATGCAGATCTTACACAGGTTCTCCTCCACGCTGGATGGCACTGCTCCCCCTGTACAAACACACAGCAGAAAAAAGGGGCAGAGGGGAACGTCAGGAGATTATCTAAGTTACGGGGTATGGGGGCATGGAGGTGGGGGAGAAGAGGCACACCAAACAAACCCCTAAGTGCACATGCTTTGCTCAAAGAGAGCGCCTCCAAGAAAACGTGTGCTCAGTGACCAACTCCAGTTGCTTAACCCATACCTCCTCCCCTCCAAAGGCTAGATTAGAAGAGTACAGTACTTTTGGATCCAATACATGAGAACTAAGGCAAAGTCCTCAGCTTAAATAATTTTCAGACAACTGAGGCTGTAATATAGTGAGTGGCACTTAGGGACTCATTATCCCCTGAGGCAGAACATACTGAAAAGACAAAACTGGTGCAGAAAAGTTTTGCAACAGTAATGAATGAGTGAATGAATGGAACCGTAATGAATAGTTCATTAAGGATCACAAGGCTTATTATCTACAGACATATCCCCAATTTAATAAAATCATGGATCATGGGGGCCCCCTGGTGCTATCCACAAACTACCCCTGGGGCTGCTTCTGAGGAAACTTCTGGTATAGGAGCTTAGCAGAGATTATTGCTCCCTCTTCTGTACTGCCCCCAAAGAACTTAATTTAAACCCCCGTGACTGCTTATCGCATTGGATTACAACTTTGAGTTTGCCTACTTATCTCACCCAGTAGACTATGAGCTCCTAATTCAACATATTCATTCCATTTCTACAATTATATACTTAGCATTTACTGTATGCTCTGAGGCCAGATACTCATCTTTAAAGCCCCCAAATGCCAGTCACATGGTAGGTATTTTCAAAGTGTCTGATGAATGACCATCTCCCAGGGGAAATGAAAATAGCTCACATTTACTGAATGCTCACCATGTGCCGGGCAGGGTCCTAAAAGCTTTGCATCTATTAACTCACTGAATCATCACAAAAACTATGAAGTAGTCGCTCTTGTTACTCTCATTTTATAGATGAGGCAACTGGGGCCACAGAGTCAAGTGGCTTGCCCCAGGGCACACAGCTGCTAAGTAGAGGAGCCAGGACTCTAACCCAGGCAGGCCGGCCCCACAGCTCATGCACCCAGTATGGCCTACGTTAAGTGCCCTGAGGATAGAGTGTCAAGATGACATTAACTGCCCAATGCACAGAGTCCTCAATGAATACTAACTGGTTTGTGCCAGTGGTAAAACACAATAAGCATGACCAGTATCCTCCTAGGTAAGCTACACAAACAGAAAAATCTTCATGTTCAAAAACCCAGCTGAGGCCGGGTACAGTGGCTCACACCTGTAATCTTAGAACTCTGGGAGACTGAGGTGGGAGGACTGGTTGAGGCAAGGAGTTGAAGATTAGCCTGAGCAAGAGCAAGACCCTGTCCATACAAAAAGAAAAGAAAAATTAGCCAGGCATGGTGGCGCCTGCCTGTAGTCCCAGCTAGTCGGGAGGCTGAGGCAGGAGGATCAATTGGCAGGAGCCCAGGAGTTCAAGGTTGCAATGAGCTATGATGAGGCCACCACATTCTAGCCCAGATGACAGAGACCCTGTCTTTAAAAAAAAAAAAAAAAAAAAAAGCCCAGCTGGCTCTCAACTAATCCCAGCACTTTGGGAGGCTGAGGTGGGAGAATCATTTCAGGCTAGGAGTTCCAGACCAGCCTGGGCAACATAGTAAAACCCTGTTCTCTACAAAAAAAATTTTAAAATTAGCCAGGTGTGGTGGTACAGGAGATCAAGGCAGCAGTGAGCTATGATTGCACCACTGCACGCCAGCCTGGGTGACAGAGTGAGACCCTGTCTCTTTAAACACACACACACACACACACACACACACACACACACACACGCCCAACCATCTCCAGCATGTCTTAAACTGTAGCCTAAACTAGATAGCCATAAATAGAAAACTGGCCTCACACCAGTCACCTCCACCATCTGGGGCTTGGTCATTCCACAGGGGAATTCTTCCTTACCCCGTTGCTTCTGTACTTTTTCTCTTTTCTGAATTATTCAAAAAGTTAAACAATTCCCTTAAGTGGTGGGCTGGATATGAAGGGAGTGAAACCTCTGCCTCCTTTGAGGTGCTGCTGGTCTTAACAGGGAAAGTTTGGAAGAGACTGAACTAACACAAATACATAAGATAAGCAGGGGAATTTATAAATGTTCAATTATTTCTCTCAGGACTAACAATAAACACATCAGCTCAGTTGTCAGCATTCTCCTTGGGAACCAGAAAAAGAAAGGCAGGCACCAAGTGGGTCAGCCTGACCTTGGTACCAGGTGAGGGGCTGGGTCTAGAACTCCAGATGGTTTTGGGGAATTGAGAAAAGCGCAACTCTCTTTTATGTCTGATGATGAGGCATCATCAAACATAAAACTCTGCCCCATTCTGAGCAAAAGGCCATTTTACTGAATAACAAATTTGGAAGTCTTCTGGAAAAGTTTTTGAATGCTTTACAGGCTCCAACACTACTCTGAGCATGTTCTCTCTTAGGAGGGAGCTCACAACCACACAGCCTTGAGGCTTTTGTAAATGTGCAGCAGATTTCAGGAGGCTCCCCAGATGGCCGGGAGTTCTGCAGTGTGTTCTGGGGTACCAGTGTGGGCTTTCACACACAGGTTGGTAGGTGGGGTGTGCAGTTTGTGCCCAGAGAGCCCCACACATGAACCTTTCCTGATGTCTCCGGAGCAGCTCTAACCACTGCCAGCCCTGTACAAACAAGGCTCTCTTTGGTCACCACCATTTCTCTCTGGTTGGCACCAGAAGCCGGTAAACATCCTGAGTGCTTTTTCTGAAGGTGCACACAGAGACCCTCCCCCGCCAGGCCAGAACCGAGTGAAGACAGCAGGACTATGAAAAATGAACTGAATGTCAACACATGCCACCACTCACTGTGTTATATATTTTACAGATAATGAACGTAGAAATCAGTCTGCCCCTGGGTATGCTACCACTCTGCTTCCTTCACAGGAGGGAGAGTGAGAATTTCTAAAGATGCTGAGAAACCCTGGTTCTCAGTGAATCTCCCACACACACTCTCTGGAAATCCATATGCTCAGAATTCTTAGACTGTTAGCAGGAATCAGGGTTAAAAGAGGGGAAAGACAGAAGAGCCAAGAGCCTAAGCCCATCCCCGAACAGAAACAACTACGTACCGTTTTGGTCTTCAGCGCCACACACTGAAAAGGAAAGACAAAGATGTCAATAGGTGGTGATGGCACAATGGCTCTAGGAAAGTCTCCTATCACCCTGCTGTCATTCCTGACCACTTCCTGCTGGAACCAGTCTTGCCAAGAAGTTAGCCAGGGGTCCTCAAACTTTTTAAACGGGGCCACTTCACTGTCCCTCAGACCACTGGAGGGCCAGACTATAGTTTAAAAAAAAACTATGGGCCGGGTGCGATGGCTCACGCCTATAATCCTAGCCCTCTGGGAGGCCAAGGTGGGCGGATCATTTGAGCTCAGGAGTTCAAAACCAAGCTGAGCAAGAGCGAGACCCAGTCTCTACTATAAATAGAAAGAAATTAATTGGCCAACTAAAAATATATAGAAAAAATTAGCCGGTCATGGTGGCACATGCCTATAGTCCCAGCTACTCGGGAGGCTGAGGCAGCAGGATTGCTTGAGCCCAAGAGTTTGAGGTTGCTGTGAGCTAGGCTGATGCCACGGCACTCACTCTACCCTGGGCAACAAAGTGAGACTCTGTCTCAAAACAAACAAACAAACAAACTATGAACAAATTCCTATGCACAGTGCACATATCCTATTTTGAAGTAAAAAAACAAACGGGCAGAAAGACCCACATGTGGCCCGAGGGCCGTAGTTTAAGGACACCTGACCTAGACAGATACTTGTCCTCTTTGTTCACTCTCCGTGCTGAGAATACACACATAGCTCCTGCTGAAGCATCTGATCTACTTTATGATTACTTTTTTTTTTTTTTTTTTTTTTTTTGAGACAGAGTCTCGCTCTGTTGCCCGGACTAGAGTGCCATGGCGTCAGCCTAGCTCACAGCAACCTCAAACTCCAGGGAACAAATGATCCTTCTGCCTCAGCCTCCCGAGTAGTTAGGACTACAGGCATGCACCACCATGCCCGGCTATTTTTTCTATATATTTTTAATTGGCCAATTAATCTCTTTCTATTTTTAGTAGAGATGGGGGTCCCACTTTTGCTCAGGCTGGTTTCAAACTCCTGACCTTGAGCAACCTGCCCACCTTGGCCTCCCAGAGTGCTAAGATTACAGGTGTGAGCCACCACGCCCGACCTGATCTACTTTTTTTGTTGTTGTTGATTTCCTGTATCAATTTCTGTTTGCAATTTCATTGATTGCTGCTCTAGTTTTTGTTTTTTTTAAGACAGAGTCTCACTTTATTGTGTGGGCTAGAGTGCCATGGCATCAACCTAGCTCACAGCAACCTCAAACTCCTAGGCTCAAGCGATCCTTCTGCCTCAGCCTCCCCAGTAGCTGGGACTAGAGGCATGCGCCACCATGCCTGGCTAATTTTTTCTATATATATATATTTTTTTATCATTATTACTTTTTTTATTTTAGCATATTATGGGGGTACAAGTGTTAAGGTTACATATATTGCCCATGCCCCCCTCCCCCCAATCTACTTTTAAGAAAAGGTATTCCATCAGTTTGCAGGAACAAACTGCTGAGTTGTAGGATACCCTATATGCATAATATCCTTCTCTATTGCTTTTGAAGCCAGCATTAAAGTCTGGTGGCTTCAGTCAGCTAGGGAGTCTGGATGGAGTTCCTATGTGGAGTCATCTGTTCTATTCCCAGCTCCTCACAACAACTAGGGAGACTTTTGAGGCAATTCCAAAGGGAAGACTGAGACTCCATGTCAGCAGGTTTCAGTCTGTGATCACATATTAGTCAGACGTCCATCACTCTGATGGGTTCCAGCTACTGGTAGAGGGGAGCCTGCGGTCTGACTTCCCCCTCCGCTACCACGCACGGAGTGAGTATGTAGCTACAGGAACTTCATCCGCTGGGGATGGGGGGAGAAGGTGAGGGTTCTGTGGTGAAATAGTTTCAGGAAATGCCAAATTCAAAACAGCCAAACACATTTCTGCAGGACTTCTCTGCTTTTCATATAAAAATATCTGCCATGACTCAGGAATAGGGACATAAGATAAAGTATTTTTTTCCCCAAAGTTATTTAACCTCAGACCCAGATATTTTTCTGGGTATCTCCTGAAAATGATACCATGTAAAATGCTTTAGGAAATGAACAAAAGGAAAAGCCCAGGTGCAGGCAAAATAGATATATTCTTCTACTGTGCATACAAAGATTCGCTTTCTAGTCTCCCAACTCTTCAGAATATTGTTGGAGGTACAGTGAGTACAAAGGGGACAGCATTCGGTGGGAAGGGCCATGGACCTGGGCCAGAAAATCCTCAGTTCAAATCTGAGCTCCACAATGGAAAGGTGATGCTGAGGAGTAAACAAACACATGCGGTGCCTGACCCAGTCTTGACACCCAGCCACAAACGACAGCTATTATTAGACGGTGCAAATGTGTGACTCCCTCTGCAGCTTAAAGCATGGAAATTGAATTGGGTCGATGCCATCGTGCTTTTGAGTGACAGCAAACACTCCAAGCTCTGTGCGGCTCCCACCCAGACGGCCCCTCACCCAGGTGCTGCAGTCCTTTCTGATCCTTGTACAGCCGCGTCACCCTCTCCATCAGCTCCCACTTCTCACAGCAGCCCTTGTAGTTGACGAAGTTGCGAGCCAGGATCTCTTTCAGCTGCCGCACCGTCAGGCCTTCAATGTCCTCCAGATCGGTCAGGTCGGACAGAGAGGCCCTCCGACCTGGGACGAAGCTGTCCTCTGAGTCAATGGACTGCAACGGCAAAGATGAGATGGGTGGGCTCAATTCTTACCTCCCCTCCTCCCTACCCCCCGAAGCTCTCTCTCCAAGGACCCCAGAACACTCAGCACACTATGCTTTTGGCGACTGATCTCAAAAAGAGTAGCAACAGAGACAGGCAAAGTACCTGGCATGGTGCTCTGCACTGCAAAACAGACTACAGTCTCTTCCTGACCCACAGGGCTGTGCGCTGGCACACACAGCCACAAACCAACCCATGAGGGTGACGGAGTCGGAGCACTGGTTCCAGTTAGATGCCCCTAATTTTGAATACTGACTCTTCTACTGATTAATGCTGAATAACATCCAGAAGGTTGCATACATCCCTGAGCCTACCTGTCCATAAAGAAGAGGCAGCTGTCTTACCCTACAAGGTTCCAGTAAAGAGTAAATATGGCAGCACGTGAAACCAGCAAGCACGGTGCTGGCCTTTCTCTCTCCCCTGGAGAGTTCTGCTGATCTACAGAGGCGGCGGATTTCTGGCATCACTCCTCCACATGCAACATCAACTACAGCTCCATGACCTGACTGCTGTGCTTGGGACTGGCCCCTGCCCGGCAGAGGCCTGCACCTCCCATTATCTGACCTCCTTCCCTGGACCGTGGCTACTGTGAGTTAGAAGCAGGAGAAAAGAACAAGATTTTCACAGCAGCACCAGAACCCTGCCTTCTGGCAGCTCTTAGAAAATCAAGAGACTGGAAACATAATGGGCCACGGGGCTCCCCAGTCTCCACTGTGACCCCACAACTCCTATTAACACACTGAAAGATTCAGAAGTTAATGTGGACTACCACTGCAGTCCACGCTGAAAGCACAATTTCAGACGGACTGTTATCACAGACTGATTCTTCTCTCTCCTCCCTGAGTCTGCTGAGAGGTTCCTGAGAACACCCTAAGAATACCCGTAAAAGCGCAGACACAGACCCGAGCAGAGGCCCCACCTGGGTCTCGTCCTCAGCAGGTGCTCTGGCTGTGCTCTCCAGGTAGGCGGGCTCTTCGTAGTCCTGAGACACATGGCCATTGGCCTGTGGGAAGAGAAAGGTGACATCACATCCACAGAGATGTCCCAGAGATTTGCATAGCATGGACCTCTTTCTAGCTCATACAATGTCCAGAATGTATTCCTATCTTCCCCAAGTCTGGAGCCTCTCAGAACAGCGTTGCAAAAGCCTGCCCTCTCATACTAACTTCATCAGGCAGAGAAACCACACAAATAGATTTCAACAGACATAAAGCTGCCCTCTAGAACCAGAGTGCATTAATTCTGCCCACCACCAGGATGGCATCAGCCACCATGCACCGTCAATTTAATCCCAGCTAGCTGGAGTTCTCCAGGTGAAAGGGAGATTACTATGTCCATTGCACTGCTGTTCTCTGCCATCAAGTTTTTTCTTGACATTGATCTAAAATTGCCCTCCCTATAAATTCTACCCACTGTCCCGAGTTCTGCCCCTCAGACCAATGTCCACTGTTTTTTCCAAACTTTTCATATCATGTCTTCCCCTCCTTTACCCTAAATCTCCGTGGCTTCCTCATCTGACATGGGACAAATTTCCAGACCTGCCCCACCCTAGTCTCTCTCACCTGCCCAGTAACTGCTCTCACGCTCACACCTATAGAGCACTCTGTGACTAAGAGCTGTCTCGAAACCTGGTCAAACATTATTTTAATGTATCTGCAAATCAATTAGGCTAAGATTATTTAAGACAAATGTAGGAGTTTCATTCTGCTCAGAACACTAGCTTCTCAAAAGGTTTCTCCTGAGTACTCCTTTATTAGGTTTTGCCAAAGAGTAGTCAGAACTGTGAGCCCCTAATTCTGTCACCATTTAAGCCACAAACCCCTTAACTAGATCCTCTTCACCCACTGCTCTGTCCATGCAAAAGGCCTGGTATGCGGACTCTTGGTGCAGGTCACCTGTGTACTTGCCGGATAGCCTTGCTCAGATCAGGGAGGTGGCTGAGTTCACAGGCCTTTTCCACCAGACCCCTGGAGCACCTGTAAAGGGACAACCTGGGAGGCCAAAGTCACCTGCTGACCCAAGCCACTCATCCCAGATTACATGTATCCCAGGATACATAATACGGAGCTAGTCAAGAAGAGGCAACTACGGCCGGGCGCGGTGGCTCACGCCTGTAATCCTAGCTCTCTGGGAGGCTGAGGCGGGCGGATTGCTCAAGGTCAGGAGTTCAAAACCAGCGTGAGCAAGATCGAGACCCCGTCTCTACTATAAATAGAAAGAAATTACTTGGCCAACTGATTAATTGGCCCAGGAGTTTGAGGTTGCTGTGAGCTAGGCTGACGCCATGGCACTCACTCTAGCCTGGACAACAAAGCGAGACTCTGTCTCAAAAAAAAAAAAGAGGCAACTACAGTGGAAATGAAAAGTAGCAGTAACAACAACAAATGCCAAGTAATGACAAGATCACACACACGGCACGCACATCACACAGCGTATGGGGATGCCTGTGAAACTGTCTTCACCAACACCTTTAGCTCTCTCTTAGCTTTATGCAGATGGGATGCCCACTGGCCTCTTGGAGAGTGTCACCTTGGAGTCTTTCAGAGCCTAACCTGTTCCTAAGTAGACAGCTTTTGCATGTCCTTTTTTCCTAGAAAGAGAAACTGGACCTCATGCTACAAAGCATGCTCTCATCTTTCCAGTTTGCCCACTGGCTACATCAAAATCTACAACTAGTACCTGTCCACAGCTGTGCTTACTGTATACTCATCCTTCCCTAGCAGTTATTACTAGAGGATTAAAGGTAAAAGAAAGAACCCTGGTGGAGCCAGTATTATGAGATTTATATTGTAGGTGCAGCTCACTTGTGGACTGGTCAGATAGCCTTGCATAAGCTCCTTAACTTCCCCACGCCTATTTCTCCTGCTTGCAAAGTGCAGATATCACCGGACCAGGGGGTGTGAGCAGACACTAAGGCCTTCTGAAAATCTCAGTGTTCAAGTACCCAGTAAGATCTGGTATGTAGGATAACTTGTAGCTACACACTGGAAACTTCTGGTTAATGACAGGAAGTTTATAATTTTCACTGAAAATCTCACCTGAAGGTTCTTCAGGGAAAAATAATTCCTCAAGTTCCTCTCCTGACTTCCCATAAATAGAGAAGAGTGGTCCAAAAACTAAGCAAAGAGAGGAATGTATAGCAGGAGGTAAAACCTGTCCAGCAGGCCTGGCGAGGTGGCTCATGCCTGTAATCCTAGCACTCTGGAAGGCAGAGGTGGGAGGATCGCTCAAGGTCAGGAGTTCGAAACCAGCCTGAGCAAGAGCGAGACACCCCATCTCTACTAAAAATAGAAATAAATTAATTGTACAACTAAAAACATATATAGAAAAAATTAGCCGGTCATGGTAGCGCATGCCTGTAGTCCCAGCTACTCGGGAGGCTGAGGCAGTAGGACTGCTTGAGCCCAGGAGTTTGAGGTTGTTGTGAGCTAGGCTGATGCCACGGCACTCTAGCCCGGGCAAGAGAGCGAGACTCTGTCTAAAACAACAACAACAAAAAAAAAACCTGTCCAGCAGACTGAGAGCCAGAGCTGGGGAAATAGTTAAAGTCCAGGTGGGGAGAAAAACATGCTAAGGCCAACAAGGGAGTTAAATGATGTTATTGCAGTTAAACTCTGCTATCACATTGGCCTTTACGCCTCAGTGCCTGTCAAGAGCTGAATCAGGGGGCCCAGTCCCAGCAAAGGAGGTGTTGTAAACAAGAGGCAGCAGCCACCCACAGCATGTGTGGGAACTGACAGCACTAGCACTACATGAAAGAGCCCAAAGCTCTTTGGACATGGCATCATGCCATCCAAGCCTCCCAACACCCTGGGCAAGATCAAAAGTGGTCTGGGATTACTTACCCCATTTGATTGCTGTAGGCTCACAGTTTGCCCACAGTGACCAAGGAGACAATAACAAAAGTGCATGTGGAAACCACATCTTCTAGCTCCTAATCCCTCTGCTTTACCCAAGCCCTAGAAATAACAGCTACCACTCCTTACAATGGTTATGTCCACTGGCCTCACTCTAATCTAGCAGTTAGGTGGTCTATGTGTCCAACTTCCTTCTTCCAAGGGCTTTCTGAGGACAGAGACAGGGGATTACTCATTTCTGTACTCTCCATGCCTGCTTCATGATCAGTCAGTGTGCTGCTCTTACTTTGCCACTTTCAGGGCCCCCAGGATAATGACGAAGCAGCTTACAGTACAGCAGGACACCAACGAGGACCCCTCCCCAAAGGGGTAAGAGCAGCCATGTCCTTGTCATGATGTTTACGTCCCCTCCCTTCCCCAGCTTTGTTTTCCTGTACGCCTTTTGATGGCTACTCAGGAACCACAGCAAAGGGAAGTGAGAGGACAAACTGGAACAGAGCTAAATTTGGAGAGTTAACAGTGATAACAGTGAGTTTAAAAAACAACAAACAGAAAAACCAAGACCAAGTTTTCTCAAACTATTTCTGGAACAAAGAACCTTTTAAAAATGCCTTACTGTGCTATGTTTGTAATGTATCAAAAACAAATAAAACACACACACAAAAAAAAAAAACCTGGTACCGTGAATAAAGCCAAAACATGAGTCCGATGTCCAGAAAACATCACTTCATGTATCACTAGGCAGAAAGGCGTCACATCACCAAGACACGTCACGTCACGCCCCATTCCCACAATGCAGGTAGGAGAGGAAAATGAGCCCACAGACCTGCACGGACTGGCGGACACTACAGACGGGCCCATACCTGCTGATGCTCCTGAGCCTGGGCTGAGGGGACAGAGGTGGCCTGTGCAGATGCAGAGGAGCTGGGTGAGGTAGGAGGTACCGTGCTGGTGTGAGGCTGGCTCAGGAAGGCCTGCTGCTCGGGGAGGTCCGGGGACAAGGTGGGGGCACAAGTCCTGCCCTCTTGGGAGATTATAGGCTGCTGGCCAAGCACCAAGAACACCAGCTCTTCTTTCTCCCGGCACATTTCGGTAGAGATGTCATGGAGGCTGAGATAGTCCCTCAGGTCCTTCACCTTCATCTTCATGAGCTCCTCCCGCTGAAAGGCTGTGGCTCGGAACCGTTGGCAGAGAAGGCAGAGGCGGGGCCCATTCCCCACTTGGCTCGAACAGGTCATGCAGAAATTTTTCTTACAGTCCAAGCAGGTCTGCTACTTAGAGCAAGAGGCAGAGAAGCCATGTCAGATTGAGAGAGTAAGACAGACAGTGGGATGGGAGCTTCACAGCCGCCAAGCCTACCAGGATCTCCTCCAGTCAATCTTACTTTTACTGAATCTCCAATATCTAAGCGTGTAAGCTACTTTGCAAATTTTATATTAAAAGCCACTCAGGGCGGGGTGTAGTGGCGAACGCCTGTAATCCCAGCACTTTGGGAGACTGAGGTGGGAGGATCGCTTGAGACCAGCTGGGACAAGAACAAGACCCCGTCTCTACAAAAAATAGAAAAATTAGCCAGGCGTGATAGCACGTGCTGTACTTTGTGCAGCTACTTGGGAGGCTGAGGTAAGGAGGATCACTTGAGCCCGGGAGTTTGACACTGCAGTGAGCTATGATGACGCCACTGCACTCTAGCCCAGGCGACAAGTGAGACCCTATCTCCACCAAAAAAAAAAAAAAAAAAGAAAAAAGCCACTCAGATGTGGGAGACCTCTAGTATGTATTTGTGTGCATGCATGTACAGGACACTTCACATTATTTCACTGAGGCTTGCTTTATTTACTGGGAGAGAACCTGAGGATATTAATCAAGACTACCAGCTTTAGAATCAAAAGGCTCTGCATTTTATAGCGAGCCTCCCTCCCTCCCTCATTTCTTGCAGTGTCACCAGGAGTGTGTAACTTAGCCTTTCTGGGCATTCAGTTTCCACATCTGTAAAGCGGGCACGGTAATAGTATCTACCTCATGAGGATGTTGTGAAGAATAAGAGAGCATGCATTTAGCATATCTGGCACATAATGAGGCCTCAGTAAGTGGTAGCTGTTTTAACTGTGATTGCTAGGAAACGTTAGCTAATGATGAGAGCCAGCATTCAAGTCTTAGACTATGATTCTTTCCACTTTATTGCTGAAGTATGAAAGCAAACGTGTGAAGGGCTGTGGTGGTAATTCTTACTATTAATATTAGTATTAATTAAACTTGTCAAGGTATTTTTATGTGCTAGAACTATACCTAGCTTGTCATTTAATTCTCAAAGCAAACCTGCAAAGCAGGTATTAGTGTTCTTCCCTGCTTCACAAAGCAACCAAGACTCAGAGACCGAGTGTTATAGTCAAAGTCAGTAAAGAGCAGAACTGGGACTACCCGTCCTGGTGTACTGAGGCTAATGTCCACGGCCATGCTCTCTCCACTGGGCCGTGCTGCCTAGCTCAGTCCCAGGCCCATCCGGGCACAGAGCAGCACTGAGCCGAGGGCACTGAGCCACTGCCTTTCCCTCCCCAGACTCCCACCCGTGCACAGCGCTCCACGCGCAGAGGCTGGTGCCAGGCTCCCCGGCTCCAGGAAGCCCTACTCCGAGTGCTGGGAATTCAGTGGTGCAGAAGACCACGTCCAAGACAAATATTTGGACAGCTAAGGGAAGCCCTCTGGACTTTAGGGTGCTCTCATTCGTGAAAGTACAGAGCGTCTTAGTCAGGCGACAAGAGCGCCTGACGGGCAGGCTGGTACTGCCTGGCGGCAGCTGCTCCCACAGTCACTGAGGACACGCCACAGCTTGCTCAGCCCTCGGGAAGCAGATCCTTGGCCGCTCACCCCACAGGCTGAGCGAGCACAGTGACGTCTGGCTGAGCTCTGTTCCAGCCAAGAGCAGAGGTCACCCCCCCAAGGAGAGGTAATTCCCGAGCACACGGATCGTCCTTGAGGGCACCCTCACTAATCCTTTTAAGAAGTTAAAAACTTTTCATCCTGTGGTGACTTAAGTATTAACCTAAGTATCTCTGCTCCCTCTTTTCTAAAGATAGAAATCTGTTCAAGCCAAGAAAGAATGCTCAAGAGACAGATTCTCATAGTTGAGATCACAGACGCTCTTGTGTGGGGCTGGAGTAGAAGTCTGCATAGATAAAAACTAAATATAACTGTCTTCACTAAGTATCATTCAGATAGCAAAGGGAAAAGGAAATAGTGTTTGCCATCCACTTCTGGCTGCGAAGACTCAGAAGGCACTGCGAAGGGACACGTGTCAAGCTCCCTTATTCTCCACACGGTTACAGCCAGACAATAAACTGTTCAGAGACTGGCTTAAAAGGACACACAGCCACACTAGCATTATAACAGTTCTGGGACCAGTAGCCACGCCAATGAAAAATGTATGTTTTGGCATATTGGGCGCTCATTCCTATCTAAAGCTGTCCCATTGGGAAACGAAGTGTGTTTAGCATGACTGATAGTGAAACGAAGAGGCTTCAGTGTCATGAAGCTGTGAACCTGACACAGAGCATTACCTAAGTCAGTGCAGTCTGACTAAAGCCTGTGCTACTCAATCGGCCAGATCCAAACAACTGTCTATTCTTTCTCCAAATGTGTGTGGCTTGTTGGATGCAAGATCAGAATGCAAAGACAGAATCCCAGCTTCTGTGCAGCCCCGGGCTCCCCAAGGACTCTGAAGTAAGCTGGCATCTGAAACATACCCTACAGGAAGATAGCGCTCGAGGCTAAAATCCCAGTTTGCAGTGGCAGGAGAGAACAAAGGGAAAGGAAAAAAGGGCTGTCAACAAATGTGGGCAGAATGAGCAAAGGACAGGCTTATGTATAAATTCTAGCAAATAAGCCGGGCGCGGTGGCTCACGCCTGTAATCCTAGCTCTCTGGGAGGCTGAGGCGGGCGGATTGCTCGAGGTCAGGAGTTCGAAACCAGCCTGAGCAAGAGTGAGACCCCGTCTCTACTATAAATAGAAAGAAATTAATTGGCCAACTAATATATATACAAAAAATTAGCCGGGCATGGTGGTGCATGCCTGTAGTCCCAGCTACTTGGGAGGCTGAGGCAGCAGGATTGCTTGAGCCAGGAGTTTGAGGTTGCTGTGAGCTAGGCTGACGCCACGGCACTCACTCTAGCCTGGACAACAAAGCGAGACTCTGTCTCAAAAAAAAAAAAAAAAAAAAAAAGCAAATGGTTCAAACCAACTGAGAAACAAGGTTGCATGAAAGCTGAATTAGTGGAGACAACATGCCTGTGGAAATGCCCAGCAGACACTCAAAGTCCAGAATCACGGAGCTGGTGGCTGCACGTAAGGCAGGTGCCACCCTCCAGGGACAGGGAGGCCACGTGGGTGCTCTGCTGGTTCCCGTTTGCCAATGTCCCCTTCCCTCACCCATCCCCCCATCCCATCCATATTCCCTGGCCCGGCTCACTTTGTCCTTTTAGTCCTACCAGTCTAAGGACTATGGAAACATGACATGAGAGCACTCACATTAAGCCTTCGCATAAGGTGGATGCTCAGGGAAAGGTGACATAGTCACCTTTTACTTCCTTTCCCCTATGCCTCATCTCTGGGCTTTTGCCAGTACTTAAGACCCACTCTTCCCTTTCCACACTGAGATCTGAATATCACTGCCATGGCTCCATACACAACCTCCCCCCTCCTCCTCCTCTAACTGGTGCAGCTAAAGAGGCTGGGTGCCAAACTCCCTCCCAAAATTGTCAGGGTCACTGCTAAACCACAGGTAGGTATTACCAATACAGATGGGATATTTGGCTTGTGGCAAAATTACAGCCTGCCGTTTCTTTCTTTCCAAGACTGAAAACTTAGGGAATGCAAGTGACACAACTTACTATGTTCTCTCCATAAAGTCCTGAATGTTATCTGTGCTTTGCACCCAATGAGCATTTAGAAAATACTGACTGTAATAGGAAAAAAAAAAAAAAAAAAAGTAAAAGACAGTAGGATCCATATAATCATTTCAATTCAACCACTTCTAGAACAGACATTTTAAAAAGCTGCTGGCTGTTAAATGCCAAACCCTTAAGATAAGAATGCTGATCCACTTAAGCATGAAATTACAAATGAAAAAATCTCAAAGGAGAAAACATCCTTAATATACACAAAATTCATTGTGAATTGCACAAAATTAATTCATACTTTTGTAGCAAGAAAATACTGTACCAATAACCATCTTTTACCATCCAGACTGGAATCCCCCTCCCCACCCGCCGCCACAAAGGCTGTTCTTGCTGCAGACGCTTTCTTCTTGTCGCTTTCTTCTTGTCGCACTGCATGGTGTGCCCTGCCCCATCTCCCGGTCTGACTGCAAGCCCCCCATTAGGCAGGGATGACCTTCTTCACCTCTGCCTCCCTAGCCCAGGCAATGCCTGACACACAGTACATATTCATTTATTTTCTCATAAATAAAAAAGTTCTGTATTTTCATCATCGCCATGCTACTAGGCACCCACACCTACAACCTGCTGTCTTCAACTCCCATCCCAACTATCTTCTGGGAGGGAACTTTAGATTCAAGGACCTGGGTTTGAATCCCATCTGTCATTTAATAACCATGTGACCTTGAGGTGCTACTGAAGTTGAGGGAAAAGAATGAGTACTTTACTGTCCCTTATGCTATTTGTCTGGAACTTTACACAGTTTTCTTTTTAAATTTTAAACTCTAAGCCTTAGTTTCTCATATGTAAAATGGGATTTGGGAGATTCTAAAACCTTATTTGAGGTTTTTGTAGTTATTGTGAGAATGGAGTGAAAAATTCCTTTAAAACAGTCCCTTGCACATAGCAGATGGTTTAAAAAGTATTATTTCCTCTTAAATTTCCTATTATCACCATTTTTTAATTTATTTAATTTTATTTTAGCCAGTCAAATTGAGCAGTGGGGGGTCGTATACCACCTTTAGTGACCCTAATATGTTCTGATAACCCACTACGTTTTGGACCAGCTTATTACCATTTTAACATCACATCTTATTACCCATTCTGGGCTGCAAACCTCTCATCTGTGGCAGAATACAGGTCAGGGTTCACCTTCTGCCCCAGTGATGCTTGACCACAGAGAACTTACGGCCGCTGGGCACACAAAGGGATAGCCCATGCCCATACACTCATAAACCATTACCCAGCCAATAATTTTATTTCCTGCTTACTAATCTGGGAGGCATGGCTCCCAAGCATTTCAAATTAAATCTACTACAGTAAATAAGCTCCAGTCTGTCTGTTAGCATCTTGAAGTATCTAAGGCATCCTTGACATTGCTTTCAATAAAAAGAACAAATTAATCTGCAGTCAGCCCTTTTATGATGGCGGCTAATGAAAGGAATAACGTTAAGTGCCTACTTGTTCCAAGCATCATGCTGGATCTCATTTTATTCTGACAACACTGGGAGATGGGTACTACTATCATCCCCATTTCATAATGGGGAAACTGAGTCTCAAGAGAGGTTACATCACAAAGGTAGTAAGTAGCAAAGCTGATAACTGAATTCAGGTCTGTTGGTTCCAAATCTATGCTGAGAGGCTTTGCTTTTGCTTGGTTAGTTTTTCTTAAACATTTTTGTGAAAGGGACGGGTCTGGGTCACCAGCATAGCACAGGGAGAAGCAAGGTGGCAGGCATCAGAGGGCAGCCGGCTTGCTCAGAGGTCCTGAGGCTACAGCGGCAGAGCAGGCTAAGAAGTCAGCACTCACCTTCCTGGCCGTGTTTGCGAAATGGGCCCCACAGGCCCGGCAGCTTGGTTCTGAGCCTGTTGGGGAAGGGAAGGAGCTGTACCCAGGGTTGGAATAGGCCTGCGTCCTGGCTCCCTGGGCTGGTGGGACCTCCTCAGGCTGTCCATCCAGGCAGAACCAGTTGCAGCAGGTTGCCCACATGATAAAATCTGGTGCAAGGGAGGAAGAGGGGAAAAGGTCAGAGCTAAGACACACCTCTACTGCCCTTTCCATCCCTGAGAGCTCAATCCACACCAGCCACCAGAATCGAGGGGAGGACATGTTTTCAGGGACCACAGATTTCTTGCTGCTGCCTCTACCCCCACAGTTGCTGTCGCTTATACAATAAGAGGTGAGTACAGACACCTGATCTTCCAGGACAAGACGGGTTACCGAGTTGGCACACTGCCTTTGAAAGATTGCTGGTCCCTGATTGGGTTCAATCTGAGATCTAACTTAAAATAAAAATATTTTCTTACCTTTGCAATTACAACTGGCTTAACACCCACTTTATTTTTATCCTTAGAGCTCAGGCAGAACTTTATCATAGACACACACACACACACAATTCCACAGGGACGATGTATCATTAGTTCTTTTATATAAAAGAGAGGCAACCCAGGCTTAAATCAAGTATACAGCAAATACATAGAGAGTTAACATGCAGAGTAGAGATTCTAAAAAGCCAGGTCTTCTGACCCCAAACCTAACGTCCTTTTCCCCATACCGTGTTGCCCCTTGATCCCCCTTCCCACCAGCCAGCAGAACTACCTCCTCTTATGTTTGTACCCCCAATCCCACATAAACTTCTATCACAGCATCTATTACGGTTTCTTGCACAGATGTACCTAATCTTTCTTTTCTCCCACTAAGCCATAAAGTCCTCTAGGGCAGGTACTACTTCTTATTCATGTCTGTACTATTCACGAGCACTGCTGTACACATAGCAGATGCTCAACAAATATCTGCTCCCTTGCCGAATCAGTGCTTCTGTAGGTTTATTAAGGAGTTTTGGATTACTATTCACATTGTACATATCAAATACAGGTATTGGAGACAAGAGGGTTGGCAATTTTATGAGCACAGAACAAAGAAGATCTAGACCATAGAACAAAGAAGAGCTAATCCCACAAATGTCAGAATGACCTAAAGATTATTATAAGAGGGTCCATTAAAATGCCATGCACTGCTGTGATATGTTTTTCTTAATAGCCTAAGGCAGTCAATGTGGACATTTTGAGCCTGAACTCTTTGCTTACAGGGATAATAAATGAAACATTTAGTGTTATTATTTGATAACCAGTTCACACAAGAGAACTGTCTGCTCTGTGTCGACTCATTGTTTTAACAGAGGCGCTTTCATAGATCAAAGATGTGGTAAGCTGGAAGGAACCAAGAGGCCAACTGGTCCAACCCTGGTCATTTTATAAAGGAAAAGAATGACACCCAGCAAGGGGAAGTAACTGCCTGGGCCATACAAGTTATAACCTTAGGCTTCTTGATTTCTCCAGGTTCTTTCTAGCTTTCCAACACTGCCTCCAATGCACCTGCAATATAATTCCTTCTCTTCTGCAGGGGCCTCTGATTAACACCTGTCTCCCCCACTTGCCTATGAGCTCCATGAGAACAGAGAACTCGACAGTCTTACAGCACCCCGTGACACAGATGGCTCAAACAAGGACTACTGAATGAACGAATCATATACAAGATTTAAATCTTAACTAACCACACATTTGTTCAACTTCTAGTACATCAAAAGCATTTCTGACTCAACATTACTTGTCTGAAGACTCTAAGTTCCCATAAGAGAAGGACCTAATCTGTCTTACTTGCAATTAACAGTTCACGTGGAATAATGGAGCACAGTGCTTCATGCAGCGTATGTGTGATACAGTAAATGAGTTCTTTGCTGGCAAGAGAATGGGGACAACAGAACACAGCCCTCTGAGATGGAAATTTTGTAATTCTTTAGATGCATCTGAGACAGCGTGTAATAACAAAAAGAAGACAGAATCTGGCATCAGGAGACCTGGGTCCCAAGTCCTGCTCTGCTACTTACGGGCTATGTTACCTACCTCTCACAAGGCATACACTTTCTGTGCTTGTTTTTCTCATATGGACATTCCGTACGCTGTAAACACTAAATAAATATTAGTTGTTGTTATCAGCATTTTAACAATGCCTTTAACTACCATTTCTCTGGGAAGGCAAAGGTACAAAGTAAACCCAGAAATGTCACTGCAATTAGCATTTGGCTTTCTGGGCGTGTTCCCTGCAAAGGAGACAAAGCTGTAGGTGAGGGGGAGGAAGGCTACAAAGATGGAAATGATCAGCTCTATAGGGGCCAAGGGGTGACCAGAGAAGACTTCTCAGTGAGATGCCACACATCCTATCTTGACGTGGAATTAAGTGGAATTTACCGGAAAGTCAAGAGTAGAAGAAATTTTCAAGAAAAACAAAAGCAGCATGCACCATGGCATTCAAGAAACTATAGGCTGGGGTCGGGCGTGGTGGCTCACACCTGTAATCCTAGCACCCTGGGAGGCCCCTAGTGTCTAGGAGGATCGTTCGAGCTCAGGAGTTCGAGACCACCCTGAGCAAGAGCAATCCCGTCTCTACTAAAAATAGAAAGTAATTAGCAATTAATTAAATTTAAAAAAATAAAAATAAAGTACAAAATGCTTAGTTGGATCAGTGGAATAAGAATGGGAGTGGACAAAGGTACAAGCAATAAACAAGGAGCCACAGAAAACCTTGTACTCCAGGATAAGGAACCTGGACTTTATGCTGTATGTAATAGGACACAATTAGGGGGTTCGGGCAGTCAGGTTTTATGATCTTATTTGCATGTTAGAGTAGGCACGTAAGGCAGTAAGCAGTGTGGGGACAGATCAGCAAGGGCTGGGTTGGAGGCAGGAAGCTGTGGCAGAGACGAGACGTGCAGATGGGGAGATATGAGAAAGCAACAGAGAGATCTCTGGTAGAATCAGCGTGAGGTATCAATCAACTGAATGAGGAGGGAAGAGGAGTAGAAGAGAGAGTCTAGGACAAATCCTGGAGTCTCTGAATTACACAAGAGGATAGATAGTAGAATCATTAGCAGAGCACGACTGTCATGAGCCTGTAGTTCCAGCTACTTGGGAGGCTGAGGCAAGGAGGATCACTTGAGCCCAGGAGTTCAAGGCTGCAGGGAGCTATAATCATGCCACTGCACCTCAGCATGGATGTTCGAGCAAGACCCCATCTCGTAAAAACAAACAAAAAAAGATAGTGGAATCATTTACTGAAATAAAGCCCTCAGAAGAAAGCATGTGTCTGGGGTTGGCGGGGAGGACTAAGATGATGAGTTGAGTTTTGTACCCGTGGGACATGCTGATGTAGACACCGGTACATATCTGGCTGGAGATAAAGGTCTAGGAATCCTGGGACTGCTGGAAGTATGTAAAGCCAGCGTGGGGCAGGAGACTGATTAGCTGGTTGGGGTCAAAAGAGGGCCTGGGAAAGCCATATCCACAGGGCAGGCAGAGGAAAGCCAACCAGCAGAACAGGAGGAGGAAGAAAGCTCAGAGGTGGGAGAACTGAAAGAGTGTTTTGAGTTCCAAGAAGAAATTATCAAATATGATGAGGAACACAAAATGCCCAACAGACTTCATTTTAGGAAAGTGTCAGTGTGCTCTTTGTTGAGCAGTTTAGGAAGAAAGAAGATGACTGATAACTATAGGTTGGAAAGTGAATGAAAAGTGAGAATTCACAATACTCCAAGGATAAATTATTCTTTCAAGAAACCTGTGAAAGGAAGAGAGAAGGCAGCTGCTGAAGAGGATCCAGGATCACCTAGTGTAGACATATCCACAAACTGCCTAGGAAACGCCAAAAGACCAAGGAAGGGAAGCTGGCAGTAAACGATGAGAGTAATGAGAGTAGAAGGGCCAGGAACAGGAAGAAAAGCGAAGATGCGATCAGATTTGGGGGTAGACTACTCCTGGGCAGGCGGAAAGTCACTCACCGGAGAGTGGAGGGAGGTGAAGGCAGAAGTAACCAAAGGCAAGTTTATAGCATTAGCAACAGAAAGGTGAGAGGATGAAATAAAAAGAAAAGGCAAATAGATTGAGCCACAGGGGAAAAAAACAAATTTTTCTTCCACACAAGGAATCTGCATGTTGTAAATTTGTCCTAAGAGGTGAGGACTTTGCCACAAAATGGGCAGACCAACTTGGTAAGGCACAGTGAGCAGGGAAAAAATGGAAATCTGCATTTTGTTGAAATCCTCATGCTTTAGCAAGCACTTAGGAGGCACCAGCTATGTGGTGCTCCTTGTGGGCTTCTTTCCAACTCCGGACCTTGAGTGAACCTCCCACCTCGGCCTCCCAGAGTGTTAGGATTACAGGAGTAAGCCATCATGCCTGGTCTTCTTGTGGACTTCTTGATACGAGATGGAAGAAAGCCCTCTTCCTTTGCTGGGATTCATGAGAACCCATCTTACTCCACACTATTTTCATTCTCTCAACTTTGGTTCTCACCTTAAGTGCCTCCTATGAACATCTCTGAAAGAAAAGCCATCAGCCTATTCAAGAATTTAGCTACTCTAAAAAGTCGGATGCAGCTCTGTGAGAAGACTCGGAATTGCCATTCTGTTCTCCCATAGGCCCCACATTTAGGTGGAGAAGGAAGTTTTATCCTAGGGCTGTGTGTATGTGGGGATGGGGGTTACATAGGGAAGGAGCAGGTAGGTGACAAGTGCCCAGTGCTAAAATACCTTAGATCTGCTCAGTCTAACAACTGGTTCGCTAACGTCAGCAGACTAGGCTTAAATAGCAAAAAAGAAAGATTTCCTAATGTGGTTAGTACTCTCCTGCCAAACTGGAAAGCCCTAAGCCTAAATCACAACTATATTCAGGTTTATTTCAGGGGGCGGAAGGAAAGAGTTTATAATTTTAACAATGCCATACAAGCCAAACACTGTTCTCTTGGGAATATTTTTTTCATCCCTCAACCCTACATAGAAAGATACACATACTGTGTTACTAAAAAGCTAAAAGTGGAACCAACTGTGGAGTATAGTAAAGAATTCTTATGTGGTGGTAGCTGAAAAACTTTACTCTCTCATCTCCTAACCTCCTTCGGATCTTGAAAGGAAATTATCATCAGATCTTCACCGAGGGCTTGAAAA